TTTTATATTATGAATATATTAGCCTATATAGCCTAACCTAACACATATTGCTGAAACAGTACAGTACATTTTACTGCAAGTTTTTCATGTGATAACTTTTATATAAATAAAAAATAGAAATAAAACAAAAAGAATAAAGTCATGCATATTGATAAATACAAATATGAATCACTTTTTCAATTGTATTTTGGATGAAATAGCACAGACGGTTTACAAGAAGATACACAATTTTATAAGGATAATATTTAAAATGTTATTTCTATACTTTTCACGTGAATTTTATGAAGAGGCTACACTTTATAGAATTTTAAAGTTAGAGTTAAAACAACTTTTTGACGAAAAAGAAAAAATTAAATCTAACAAAAATTACATAGAATATAAAACAATTATTCCGAAATGTAGTTGGATTAATATACTGGGAATTGTTCATGTTATTATAATCATTAATTAATTCTTATGGAATTTTCGTCAACAAGAAATATCATGCGAAAATATTCTTATCTCGGATTTTGGATAGGATGATAAAGTATAAATATCCTACTTCTCATATTTATAATAGCCTATTTATAATATAATATAAGTTATAATGTGAGAAAACTTTTCCCATATTATAAGTATAAATAAGAAAAACAGTATAAATAATATATCATTGTAATATAAAATACAAAGTTTCTAACACTAATAACGATCTGTTTATAATTTTTTATAATTTCCGAAGACAAAAGTAAGATTAGTTTATTTAGTCTGATTTCTATTAAATAAGTTTTAACATACTGTATTTTAAAGTTTAGAAGGATCCATTTTTTAAATTATAGCCTATTCTAAAGTTAAGATAGTGCAGCTTGTCCAAATGCAATGGGCGAAAGAGCTTTCGAGACCTAATATTAATACGTTCGTAGTTTGAAAAATATTAAACATTTATTTATCGAATAAAATAATAAAATTTAAAAAATATATAAAGTTATTCATAAACTGTTTGTACTGTTTACAGATATCATGTAGGCCTATTGCTTTTTTGTGACTTAATAAAAAAATTGGTTCTTGATACTAAAAAGTGCTGATTTAGAGCGGATTATGAAATTTTTAATTTGTAAAGGAAACGATAAAGAGATGAGTTAAAATTTAACAATTAGGCTACATAAATATAGACTTAAATATATATAGCCTATATATATAAAACGTTTTAAATAAGAGCTAAAAATATCTGTTCAGATAGGAATGAAAAACGTGATCTTTACGTTGAGAAACTTGTCACAAAGGTTATCGATTTGTGGTCGATAGACAACAGACGAATTTCTAACAGCATTAATTTATTACAAAATTCAAGTCAGAACTTTCAAAATAATAAATTTGACTAGTTTAATGAAATATTAAACTTTTAAAAGGTAAAGGCGAAGTGAAAGATTTAATTTCTCAAAAGTTTTTAAACACTGGAAAAAACAAAAGCTATTGATTTCTTGTCATTTCAACTCCAAGAAGACATAAGTTCGATTCAACTATAGAATCAAATATCAATGTAGTTAAGAATAGACTATAACTATCTTTGGCAATTTTAAGAAATTTATTAAATCAAATTTAACAATTAAATACGTAAATCTAAATAGACTACGTGTATATTTACCTAATATCTGTATATCTATGTAATAATTTATTTTATAATATCTCTGTATGAATTATTACATAGATTTTGTGTAGCCTTCGGGGATTTGTGCAAACAGGCACTTTCGCTTTCCCAGTCTCGTTTTATTTTGTTTTTTTTTTTTCTATTTCATCTTACAGAATTTGATATTTTCTGTGTACTAGGATTTTATCAGTAGGCCTACACCAAGAGTTTAAGACTTTTCATGATTTCCTGTTATTGTTATCATTATTATTACAGTATTGCAGTTGTTAGAGCTTACTCAACCCTTCTACCGAAATATATGAAAAATCTAAACATTTGAATTTTTCAAATGTAGCCTATGTTTAAATCTCTTATTAGCTATCTATTTTTAAAAACTGTAAATAGAAATAGTTATCATTTTTCAAATCCTTGACAGAAAAATNAGATAGGAATGAAAAACGTGATCTTTACGTTGAGAAACTTGTCACAAAGGTTATCGATTTGTGGTCGATAGACAACAGACGAATTTCTAACAGCATTAATTTATTACAAAATTCAAGTCAGAACTTTCAAAATAATAAATTTGACTAGTTTAATGAAATATTAAACTTTTAAAAGGTAAAGGCGAAGTGAAAGATTTAATTTCTCAAAAGTTTTTAAACAACTGGAAAAAACAAAAGCTATTGATTTCCTGTCATTTCAACTCCAAGAAGACATAAGTTCGATTCAACTATAGAATCAAATATCAATGTAGTTAAGAATAGACTATAACTATCTTTGGCAATTTTAAGAAATTTATTAAATCAAATTTAACAATTAAATACGTAAATCTAAATAGACTACGTGTATATTTACCTAATATCTGTATATCTATGTAATAATTTATTTTATAATATCTCTGTATGAATTATTACATAGATAACTTATGTACTGTACAGTATAGTACAGTACAGTACAGTACAGTACCGTAGATATGTTCAAAATCATCGAAATCAAATTAATTTAAGATTACTATTATTATTAAGTATAAATGAAATAAAATTTTTATTTATACTTGAATATTAGAATTATTTCACTGGTTTAAGAATTATTTAGTTCAATGAAATATAATATAAATTGGTTTGATCAATGTTCTATTTAATGATTTAGAATTAAAAAATTCAAAATTAAATAATAAATAATCTATTATACTTACATAAATGATTAAATTATCAAAAAATATTTTATTATTTTGTAAATTTCCTATCCCATAGCACAGAATAATTACTTAATCAATTAAGTTTTATTTTTAAAATTAAGTGAGCAAAATTAAATTAAACTTGAAAACTGTTTAAAAATGTTAATATATTAATAGATAGCCTATATTTTACAGTGCCTCTATTAAATAAATAAATAAAACTGGCAGCAATTAATCTTTCTAAATCTCAACGTCTTAACTTAAAATTGTTGTCAATTTGTTTCACTGATTAATTCATTTATTGATTTTATAATATTTTTGTATTGATGAACTAATTTTCTATTTAAAGTATTAATTTTTGTATTTAAGTCGCATTTAATAGAAAAGTAGAATCATTTTCTTGTTTTTTATCTAAAAATTATTCTCAGTATTATACCAATATGATTAACCAAAACTGTTTGTATTTATTTGAAGCTTAAAATACAGTACTTTCAGATTAGTTGAAAAATCAATTACAGTTAAAATCATTTGTAATAAACGAAATGTTTTTAGTAAATTAAGTCCGACGTTTCATTCTGTTATAAACATGGTTAACGAAGAAATATTAATTTATAAGATAAAATTTGATTTTATAAAATCATAAAATTACGGAAATTATACCTTACCAAATAAAAATTCACAAGAAACTTAAACCTTAAGATTTCATCGAGTTTGTTTGGATGAAATGTTTTAAATTAAATATTAATATAAATTAAGTTTACCCTTGATTAGAAAAATAAAAATTTTAAATTTTAAGTAGTTAGATAAATATCTGTATAAAAATAACTTATAGGTTTTGAGGCTTTTTGTTTAATAATGTAAAAAACTGACTCTTTAAAAACTGAATTTAAAATTATTATAAGTTAAAAGACTAAAAGATTATCGAAATAATCAATAACTTATTATTGTATAGTCTAACGAGTTAAAATTATCGTTGAACATCGTAGTTAAACTAGTACTTATACCCCTCAAGTAAATTCGAAATAATTTTTTTTTAGAACAAAATATTTAACCACTATAACATCTTTATGCATAAGTTTATTTCATTAATGTTAGGAAATTTCGGCATTCATTAATCTGTAAATTTATAAAATTATCGATGTTTGCGTTTTGGTTGAAAGTGTAAGTAACAGTTAGAATTAGACTTGAAACATTTATCAAAACAAGAAATTCTTATTTTAAATATAGACTTTATTAATATTCAAATTTATTTCTGTTTTTTAATAGTTATAAAGTAATTAATCTAATTTTTTTTAATCTTAAAAAGATTTACATATTAGAAAGCTATTTAATTCAAAATAAAAAAAAAACTTCGGTTAATCAAAAAAGAACTAGAAAAAGATTATTAGGCCTATTATACTGGTTTAGATTCGAAAAATTTAATTGCTCAAATTAAAACCAATAAATGGATTACATTTAGATTATTAAACTTTTAATACTCTAGGCTGAATCTATTTTCATAATATATATACTGTATTAATTTAGCGCATAATTTAATCGGAGATAAATTTAATAATAATATAAATAAATTAAATATTTTAATTAATTTATTAAAAATAGTTTAAATTTAGCGCGTATAGCTATTTAATTTATTGTAAAAAATAAAATATTAATGTTTATAAATAATAATAATAATAAACGAAATTGTACCCAATCCAAATAGAATAGTCTATTGTTTTGAATAAAGCTAAGAGAAATCAGATTTTATCTTTAATAATTACGATTTTTCAAATCTGAAATTAAACCTAAAATATATTTTGTACACTACCTATAATATAGATATTAAGTTATGTATTTATATTAATTTAACCTAAATTAATTTTCTTTTGTTTTAGTCCATGCTATAGTGTCTATTTCTTTGTTTCTTTAAATTTATACTAAGAAATTAAAATATAAAATTAATCTTATATTTGTTTTTCTTGAAATTTTACATGTGATTTATAAAATATTTTAATTTCTTTACTAGAAAATAAACTGAATTTCAAGTTTACAATCTGTTTCTAGTGATTTAATTTCACATATATCTTAGGCCTGTAGACAAAAAGCTATTATTATTTTTGTATTTTTCTAAAGCTTATTCATTATTATGAATAAATAATATAATATTGTTCCAATAAAATTAAAATAATCTATCATGCAATTGATTTTAGTTTAAATTTACGAAAAATCTAAATTACTCACGTTTGAAAACTGGATCCAAATATCTGTTTTGAACTTTGCTTAACTAGACTAAGGTACTTATGAAATTTCTGAAAATAGACCTAATGAATGTTATCGATAAAAAAAATCTGAATTTTCTTTCTGTTTAAATTTACATACTCTGATGAAAAAGACAAAGCAGCTTATAATGAAGTTCAGTATATACATCAAGACATTCATTCAATAATTTTTACGTTATAAACTAAGAAGATTTTTAGAGATTTTCAAGTTGCGATAGCATCTTCATGTCCTCTGGGTTTAACAGAAATTTTTATCGTTCAGCTAACTTATCAACCACAAACGGCAGAGAGCTAACATAAATGCAAAAGCAGCATCGTGCAGTCATCCCTAGAAATCGTCCAATAGAAGATGACTATTTTCAACGCGACCAATAAGCTTTCCAACGGCTCATTTCCTACTCACTATTGTCCAATAGAAACGATTTATGAATTGAACAGCCATTATTCGATAAATATGCTTTTAAAAATAAAATCTTTTCCACTCATCTATATACAATATGAAGGATCATTTACTTCATTTTAAATAACTAAGTTTTTTTAAAAAATATTTTTAATCATTATATAAAGCTTATAAATATTTATAAAATAATTTAGCACGTTTCCTATTTTATTTCTGAATTAAAATTACTATAAAGAAGACAAATTTCGTAATATTTACAACTAAATAAATGGTAAATTTATATATATTTGACTTCGGGTAGTTGGCAGTTATCAAAAGAAAAAAAGTTTAGAGAGGTTTTAAGTCTAAATTAGTCTAGTAATTTGACTAATATAATTTATTCTTATATTTAAAACATCATCAATGTTCTGTTTTTTATTTTACAATAATAATTAAATTGTAATAATAATTACAATTTAAGATACAGCTTCGATTTCTTAAACTGAAACTTTCAATTAAATTTAATTCTGTTTTATAATATAACTATGATTTATGTTTTCTACGATTATTTGAAACTAAGTAATTAAAAAGAAAATAAGTGAGTAAATATGATAGAAATATTTTTTAAAAATATTAATTAATAACCCCCTAGTTTATACTATTAAGCCTAAATTACTAATAATTAAACAAATTTTTTAAATTTTTGTTTGACCAATTTAATAAAAAAAGGTAATAAATATTTTATTCTAATGTAAATTTTTCTTAAAATTATAATATACGACTTTCAAAGTTGAAGTAAATTTACGATTAAACTTATCAAATTTTAAGTATGTAACGATTTTAAAAAAACAATATTTATTCAGCTCCTATCATTAATGGATAACGTAACGAAATTTGTTTGATTTTCTGTATAATTCTGTGGTTTTTCCCAGTCGATGACAATCAGAGATGTCCATCCATTCAAAAGACGTACAAAGAACACTCCAGATGCACACATACAGACACAGCACGTTGAAACGAGCAACGATTCTCTAATCTTTCATTGGCCAGAAAGACATCACATGATGTTTTAAAGGCGTGGTAACGTAAAGACCGCCTCCTTTTTCTTGTTCCAAGCAGCTGTTTCGTTCGAATACATTTCTTGTTCTTTTGTCTGGTTGGATCTAAAAGCGTAGACCTTTTCAACACTTTTAATGCTGCTCTGAAGGATTACAAATGAATATTTCCAAAAGGAAATTCGGTTTTGTATTCTAAAGGTGACAATTCACTTTACCATAACCTACATAAATGATGTCGAGTTTCTTCGACATTAAACCTTTTACTCGTGCTGATTTTTCTACGAGAAATTTTTTCTAACATCACACTATAATAGCTTATTATAAATTTTGACATAAAATTAAATAAATATTTAACTACTTAACTACAAAATTATGCTTATAATATTTAAATCTGTATATTTCTATGTTCATGATGCAAATTTGAAGCCACGTTTAGCAAGCCAAATGAAATTGTGACTAATTTTAATTGTATAAAATTCTATTTCAGACAGTTTGTGAACACAGTAGTGCTTAATAGGAATAAATCTAATGCTTAAGAAGTGTCTCTTAAGACTCCAGAAAAATTTTATTTTTAGATTTAACTATATTAAATTCATCACGTTTATATTTAAATAAGTTATATATTTAGTTTTAAATTGAAATTTAATTTTGATTTAATTATTATATATTTTATTTTATTGTTTATGAGAATAGGAAGAGCTAATTCAGAAGCGCAAGATTTTATTTACAAACAGTCTTATAATTATGTCATAAATAGATTAAATCTGAATATATTTTCACAGAAATTAAATGATAATTTTAAAATGGCTAAGCTTATTATTTAATAAAAATACTTTTAATAAAAAGTTAAAACTTACTCATCTTTTTTCTATTCTTTATGCGAATAGAATTAAGAAAATAATAATTATGCAGTATAAATCAAGAGCTTTTATTTAATAATAAACGTTTTTTTAATAATAAATATGAGAAATCAGAAACAATTTTCTGGGGATCAATGTGAAATAAACTGAAAAACAAGACCACGTTACTGAGTAAATGACAAATGGGAGACGGGAACGTAGTCTAGCCAATGATGACAAGCGTCGTATTAATTTGGACGTTGTCATTTTGAATATAAGATAGATCGGTAATAAGTTTTACCTTATTATTTCGAGAATGTTGTAACATAAGATCTCCAAAAATGAGTCTATACTAAAACTGGTTTTTCTACAAAGAACATTTTGAAGGCAAAAATAGAAGATTATTCCGAATAATAAACAAAACATTATTGAAAAACTGTTATTTAACATACATGAAATACAATGAATATTTTTATTGTATATTTTAATTAAAAATTCTGATTATTATTATAAAAATTTTAGTAAAAAACTTAATATTTTTATGTTTTAGATAATGTCGATCGGGTAGTCAGTGAATTTGATAAAACTTCAATAAATCTATAAAATATACATAGATCATTTAAAAGATTAGACAGACTCATGCTAAGAAGAATATGCTCTGCATATGTTATATAATGTAGCTTAATGACTTGTTTTGTAAATTTATGTTCATTTTAAATTTATATTTGTACAATTTCATTCAATACTATTCTGTATTTTGCGATAAACTTTTCTAGTAATTGTTTTATTTTCATCACTGGTAATAAATAGAAGTGTTTATCAATAACGAAGCAAGGAAATTTGGCATATATGGAAAAAAGTAAAAAGATTCTTCTCATATAGAGCCTATATATAGGTTATATTAAGTCTCAAGTTATTTTGCTCGAACTATATGTAATCATTATTGATTTAATAAATATAGGTACTGTACTTTAGATCAATTTGCGCCTATGGCCGGGCCAAATTGGCCACACACTCTCGCTTTGTCGCTGGTTTTATAATAAAGTATTTATTTTTTATCACTTGAAAATTGGGTTCATTCTGTAAAATTATGCCTATATTGATATTTTTATATTATGAATATATTAGCCTATATAGCCTAACCTAACACATATTGCTGAAATAGTACAGTACATTTTACTGCAAGTTTTTCATGTGATAACTTTTATATAAATAAAAAATAGAAATAAAACAAAAAGAATAAAGTCATGCATATTGATAAATACAAATATGAATCACTTTTTCAATTGTATTTTGGATGAAATAGCACAGACGGTTTACAAGAAGATACACAATTTTATAAGGATAATATTTAAAATGTTATTTCTATACTTTTCACGTGAATTTTATGAAGCGGCTACACTTTATAGAATTTTAAAGTTAGAATTAAAACAACTTTTTGACCAAAAAGAAAAAATTAAATCTAACAAAAATAACATAGAATATAAAACAATTATTCCGAAATGTAGTTGAATTAATATACTGGGAATTGTTCATGTTATTATAATCATTAATTAATTATTATGGGATTTTCGTCAACAAGAAATACCATGCAAAAATATTCTTATCTCGGATTTTGGATAGGATGATAAAGTATAAATATCCTACTTCTCATATTTATAATAGCCTATATGGAATATAATATAAGTTATAATATGGAAAACTTTTCCCATATTATAAGTATAAATAAGAAAAACAGTATAAATAATATATCATTGTAATATAAAATACAAAGTTTCTAACACTAATAACGATCTGTTTATAATTTTTTATAATTTCCGAAGACAAAAGTAAGATTAGTTTATTTAGTCTGATTTCTATTAAATAAGTTTTAACATACTGTATTTTAAAGTTTAGAAGGATCCATTTTTTAAATTATAGCCTATTCTAAAGTTAAGATAGTGCAGCTTGTCCAAATGCAATGGGCGAAAGAGCTTTCGAGACCTAATATTAATACGTTCGTAGTTTGAAAAATATTAAACATTTATTTATCGAATAAAATAATAAAATTTAAAAAATATATAAAGTTATTCATAAACTGTTTGTACTGTTTACAGATATCATGTAGGCCTATTGCTTTTTTGTGACTTAATAAAAAAATTGGTTCTTGATACTAAAAAGTGCTGATTTAGAGCGCGATCTAATTAAAAGGTAAGATTAAGTTAAATACTTAAAGCGCCATATACACCTCTTGTAAAGTATCTAATTAGTTAAGAAAACTATTAGCATTAAATTTGTCTTAAATTGGTAAAAAAATAACTCATTACAAACAAATTAGATTTTTTTTTCTATAATCTTGTGATTATTAGTTATTGTTTAATGGTATTCTAAGTTAGGCCTATCAAATTGCCATTGAATTCGTTATAAAATCATAAATAATTTACTTAGGTTATATCCAATTTTCCTCTGATGTATTCATAAATTATTAAATTTTTCAATTGCAGCAGACTATAATCTAAAGAATTCAATAAAAAATAAATAGCTGTTATTTATTTTGAATTATTTTAAACTTTCAGAGAATCAGAATTTAAAAACATGTGATTTTTGAATCAAACACACGCATGCTATTATAATACAGAAATTTTTCTCTACTTTTCATGATTTGTTTTTAATTTCTTGTTGCTCCAATTCAGTAGGTTTATGACAGCGATGAATGCCTAAATCCTTTGAGGATGTAGCTATATCCGAATTGCCATTTATAAAAGATAAGATATATTCATCAATGAAAATATTCTCTTTGCTCTAGAGAAGGAAGAAAAATGCAACTTTGCTTGGAAATTAAACTCCTTTCAAGACGATTGTCTAAGCAATATGCGGTTGTGCAAAGTAAATATTGAGTCTAATCATGACTGAATAAATGTTCGTTTGTTTCTTTTTTCAGCATTTTTAATAGCTCCTTTTGTTCGAAGAAATCAGACTTTCCCTCAATTCAATGTAGGCTACATTAAAAAATATTTACACAGACTAGGAATATAGGTCCTGTCTCTTTTACTTTTATTGTTTATATGAAAAATTTT